CAAGGCCATTTTACAGAAACTTAACAATATGTTACATTTATTTTATCACACCTTTGACTTTCTTCTGCTTTTGAAAAACATAGTTACAAGAAGAATCTCAATTTCCTAGAGAAACACAAAATGCCAGCATTAACAAATAGCTACACAAAACAGATCATCCTCTTAAAGACATGGCTTAAAATACAAAAGGGTAGAGGTTCATTACTTGCCTACAACGTATTTTGAAGAGAACTCCCAGAGATTTTTAATAATCCAGAGTTCTGCAATGAGATAGTGAGTGCTCTCTTATTTTCAGACCAAACTGGAAAATAATGTAGACCGTCTCTAGGTTGGGCGAATCACATACGGTTCCCTATTGCTCTCACGTTTGGTCCTGTGATCATCATGTGAGTTGTCTGTAACTTTATGTATGAGTTGTTGATAATGTGAAGTCAGAAATGATGATCATAGATATAGAACCATAGAAGCATGTGAGGTATGTAGTATGTAGATTCCCTGAGATAGCTGTGCACCTGCATGTAGTGTATGTGTGTGCTTTATCTACTCTGACCTTTATAACTCAGAAATGATTAGGTTTAGGATTTAACCTCTACTGGTATGATCTCAATTGATTGATTACATTATATCAGACTGCATGGAGGAACATGATTATATGACCTTACACTATTATATGGCTTTCTATTACATTCTGGAAAGTAAACGACTGTCCCCAAGGCCAACTGATTTGATCACATGTAACTACTCCATAACAGTGATTAGACAATTGTTTGGCCTAATCACTTAGAACCATATCTTAGCCAAGTTGACATGTAAATTAGCCATCACCTTCATCAATATTTTTATCAATAACAGTTAAAGCTAAACTTGACTGAGTACTTACAAGTTTTACAAGCGCTTTATGGTTTTCCTCAGATAATCCATACAGTCATCCTAGAAGATGAGTGCTAGCAATATTTCTATTTTATACTGGGGGAAACTTGCCTCAGTCCACAAAGCTAATGAAATTCACAACGGGGCAGCCTAACACCTGATCCCAAGGCCAGTCCTCACAGCCTCGCAGTCCCCTCCAGGACCACCTTTACATTTTACTGTACTGTTATCTTGGACTTGGATCCCTCCCCCTTCCATCCATCCATCCATCCATCCATCCATCCATCCATCCATCCATACATACATACATACTGTACACTATCCACCATGAGTTTCTGACATCTGCTTCTCATTTCTCAAATCACAGAATTGGTGGGGGCTTTATGGAGGGGAACAAACTCAGTTCTGGTCCTATGCATTATCTGTCCTATTAGGGTCTGCCAAGCCTGTTTCAGGGGCCATACTGGATTTGTTCTGTCCTGGGCTGGGCTCACATGGTTATCTTCCTTAATGCTGACCCATTGCTTACTAGCTAAGGTTTTTCAAGCTTTGCTCTGAAGTCAAAGTCCAACGGGATATTGTTTAGGAGCACTGACCTCTCCCACGTGTGTAACACATGGATTCTGGGATGGCTATGTCAGGCTCCGTGTGGAATCCGATCCTTTCTGGGCCTTTGTCCTCTGACCAGCTGTGCTGGTAATTTCTAGGTTGTGGCGATGAGTGGGTGTATGTTTCCTTCCTCATTTTTCCAGGAAGTGTGACTTTCTGAATGGAGTCTGAGTAGAAGCAGCTCTTCCCCTATTGAATCCTTCAGTGAATTTTTATTAGCTATTCTGTCAGCTCAGCAGAGACGGTGGTGAGGCACCAGTCATTCATTCACGATGCATTTACTAAGTACCTATTAGGCTCTAGACATTGTGCTGAACTCCAGAGTCATCAAGCAAGAAACTGCTCTTGGTCTCATATTGTTTTTTGTTTGTTTGTTTGTTTGTTTGTTTTTCAGGAATCAGACTCACAAAGTGGTAGTTGCAATATGATTTCATAAAGTTTCCAGGAGGCAACAGCAGAGCATTCACAGAGCATATGGAAGGGCATCTACCCCAGACTGGAAGGGCTGGGCAGATGATTTAGGGGAAGTAACACCCAATCAGACTAAAACCTGAAGGATGATTAGAAGATATTGTTAGGCAGCTAAAGGGAGTTGGTGGGGAAAGGACGTTCAAGAAATAAAGAATATATTGCTTAATAGGTATAGAGATTGGATTTGAAATCATTTAAGAGGTGGCAAGATAAGTATTAGTGAAGGTTGCATAACTTCATTAAAACCATTTAATTGTACACTTAACACAGCTCAAATGCCAAATTATAAAATATACATATTTTATCACAACTAAAAAAAAAAAGCACCTAAGCTTCAAATGAAATGTGGAGACAGAAAGAAGGAAGGAGCAGTAATAAAGACCTAGATGCAGAGGAAGCTTACAAAGCCTGAGAGCAACAATTAAATAAAGTCATGGTGAGCAAAGGTAAGTTTGATGTAGGATGTGTTAAGACATGAAGCTAGAGAGATAGGCAGGAGTGGAGATATGAAGCAATTATTATTGCCTAATCTCGCTATTGATTCTGTAGTTACCACTAGCTTTCACAATCTCAACTTCTGTAGCTTAGCTATTTAGTGGCAGGCAACGGGACTGAGGAGGAACAAATCTTGAATTCTGATGTGTGTTGGGGATGCGAATGAGTTCAGAGATATTTGGTCCTGAACCCTAGCCCCTACTATCCAGGGGCCTCAAGCAGTCGAATGCTCCCTCTCCCAGGTAGAATCCTGTGTGACTCCAGGCATTCTCTCTGGCGCCTGCCAGAGTCAATTCCCCGCTACTGTGAGCCGCATACCGCAGCACTCCATTAACTGGGGCCCTTCATCACGGTTGCCTTTGCTTCTCTGCCGCCCCATGGCCAGGCCTGACATACCTGTTTCTGGTGTTGGCCTGGCTGCACCCCTGCCTCAGTGACTCTTTTGATGTATCCACTGAAGTTGTTCATCACAGGAGGAAAACCGGTAGAGAAATTCACATTTTATTTGTGTCGCAAAGGATCGGGACCTGAGCAGGCCTGTTCACAAACGATAGCAATTTTACCAGGTAGGAGTGATTATCTGCACTTGGACAAATGAAGAAACTACATTAAATTACTTGTGCCAAGTCAGCAGGCAAGACAGAATTTAAACCGGGTATGATTCCCAAACTACTCCAGACTATACAATCTTACCTCTTTCCCCACCAGGGTTATCATTTTTATTGCTGTTGTTAGGTGCCACGGAGTTGGTTCCGCCTCATGCCAACCCCATGCCCATTAGAAGTAGACACTGCCAGGTCCTATCTCATGCCCATGCTCAGATTCAGGGCACGGTAATCTCTCGAGGTTTCCATTGATGGATTGTCAGAAGGTAGACCTCCAAGTCTTTCTTCCTAGTCTCTTTTAGTCTGGAAGCTTCGCTGAAATGGTTCAGCATCATCGTGACATATAAACCTCATGGATGGGTGGCTGCTATGCATGAAGTCTGCTGGTTGGGGAAATTCATCTAGGGCTGCTGCATGGAAGGTGCAAGGAGTCTATCACAGAGATGCCACTGCTCCCGCAGTTCTTAGCAACGTCCCTCAGTTCTGGTCGTTGGTTTTCTTAGGAGCCAGTGTTTGAGGAGCTTCTTCAATGGTCGTTCCTTAAATAGACCCCCGCCGTGGAGGAAGAACAGGACAGCTCAACTGAGCTTATGGCAAATAACCCACAAGGGCATCACCGCTTCTGTTCCCAAGGTTTAAGCCAGCCTCCCCCTCCTCCCTTCGATTGCAAATATAGTAGTGCTACCTAGTACTGGCTAATGTTCCCAGATTGCTCACCAGGAATCTGGTTTGTCCATAATTGATTTTTAGGCACCCTGGGAACATCTGAGCAACCCCAGGGTGGTTTGTAGCTAGGTCCCATCTTTGTCCTCCGCAGACCCTTACTGCATGTTGGTTTTGACTCACTCTTATTTTTTCATCATTATTCATTACCATTTATGAAAACGTTCAATTTCCATGATAAAGAAACTAGGCTTTTCTTTCCCCTCTTGTCTCTTCCCTCAACAGCCAATAAAGTGCAGGGATACGAGTTTTCAATTCTAGCAGGGGAGATGAATATGTTCCTGAGCTAGGGACCCGACTTCAGACAAACGTCCCTGTGAAACAATCACTGGGCTTTCATGAAACATCTCTTCACTAAGAGCATAGATTTCCCTGCAGCCAGTTGGTCCTGGCTCTGTCCTCCTTGAGGAAACTCAAGACCCTGTCTTTAATCACTCTTCTCTTTCTGCCTGCAAGGAGAAGATGCCATTTTTCAAATTGTTTCTATTGGTCCCAGGGCATGCTCCTTGGGAAAACGATCTCTGTGAAAATGCAGTATTATTTTCTCCAGCTAACATAGTCAAAGCCTTTGATAGAAGAAAGCTAGTTAACCAAGTGGTTAGGAGTATACACCACAGTCACATGCCTAGAGTGACCTAGGACTGCACCCCTTGGTGGCTTCATGAACGTGGGCGTATGACTTCATATCTTTGGATCTCAGGGTTGTTGTTTTTTTGTCTGTCAAATGGGAATAACGTTCGTTCTCAGGGTTGTTAGGAAGGTTAAGTCACCCACGTTCATTGAGTCAAGCCGGACTCATAGCTGCCGCAGGCCAAAGTCAAACTGCCCCTTCGGCTTCGGAGACTGTACATCTTTATAGGAGCACACAGCCTCGTCTTTTTCCCTCAGAGTGTGTGGTAGGCTCGAGTTGCTGACCTTGCAGCCAGTGGCCATGTATGCCACTAGGCCACTGGGGCTCTGTAGCTTGACCTAGGCGATATTGTTATTACTTACTACTATTATCAAGAATCTCTTTTCAGGCTAACCTAATATGTTTTCTCTGTTTCTTGAGATTCTTGTTTCTCCACACATTCTTCTTTAAAGATCTGACATGGTCTCACTCTTAAGAATACTTTCAATCTCACCCTTTAGAACTGTGTGGTACAGTTAGAACGGAAAGAAAACATAGTTCATTTTAAAAATAACTTGTATTTAGCTTTCTTTAAGACGACTGTGCTTTCTTTGCAGAATGATGAGGTGGAATTTGTTCGGACTGGCTATGGAAAGGATATGGTCAAAGTTCTCCACATTCAGCGAGATGGAAAGTACCACACCATTAAGGAGGTGGCAACCTCAGTGCAACTTACTCTGAGTTCCAAAAAGGATTACCTGTATGGAGACAATTCAGACATCATCCCGACCGACACGATCAAGAACACAGTCCATGTCTTGGCAAAGTTCAAAGGGGTATGTGTCATATTTCTTCGGAGATGCTGCCTATCTTGTTTGCAGGACCTTCTCTATTTAAATTCCATTTACCTTTTAATTTTGCTATTTTTACATTTAAGCCATTTCAAAATATTCATTTTCTATCCTAAAATTGTCAGGCTTGCAGGATAGCTTGATTTTCTTCTGTTTCTTCTTCTACTTATGGTTCATATTTTCTTTCTTCTGTTTCTTTTTGGATGATCTCTTTGTGCCCTCTTCTTTATTGTCTTCTTACAATATCTCTTAGGTAGAGAAGTCTACCCACCACGTTTACATGTTATGAATTAATTAGAATGATCTCGGGAGATAATTTAGGAATGGAATTTAACACATTTATTATGCATTTCTGAGTTCTGTTATGCTTTTGCAGTGGTTTTTTTCTTGTAGACACCACTTTCTGTTGCTACTACTATAGAAGATAATCTAAAAGATAGATTTCTTTTCATAGATGAAATTCATTTTTGCACATTTTAACACCTTCCTAACTTCTCTAGGTGATACTGTTGGTTCAGCAAGCGCTTTCCTATGGAGTCACCACCAGCTCATTAGTAGTTGCTAGCATATTGTTATAATGCAGAACAGGTTTTCAGCAGAGCTTCCACAATAAAACAGACTAGGGAGATAGGACCGACAATCTATTTTAAAAAATTAGCCAATGAAAACCTTATGGTCCATAAGGTTATAACCCATCTTGGGAATAGGGCGGGACTGTGCAGCATTCCCTTGTGTTGTGTTTAGAGCTGCCATGAACTGGGGCCCAATCAATGGCACCTAGCATCTGCAATTTTTCTAACATCCTGACCACTGATTGTCTGCATATATGTGTGCCATTAAGTCAATTTCAATTCATAGAGACCTAGGACAAAGTAGAAGTTCCCCTGAAGCATTTCCTAACCTGTAAACCTTTCCCAGGGCTGATAGAGAGGTTATTTTCTCTAGCAGTGTTGTTAAGAGGGTTTAAACCACTCATCTTTCAGTTAGCGGCTCAGCGCTTTAGCCATTGCACCACCAAAACTTCTTACTATCCACGTCTGGTGGTTAACATCACTCTGCAGGGGCTGCAGGGGCAAAAGTGTTAAGAGCTCTGCTGCTATCTGAAAGGCTGCTGGTGTGAACTCATTAGTGAAAGAAAGATCAGCTTGTCTATGCTGGTCAACATGACAGCCTAGGAAAGCCTGTGGGTCTCTTCTGCTCTGTCCCATGAGGTCACTGTAGTCAAACTAGACTCCATCACTCCTAACAAGGGCTACCCTCTCCCAAGTATCTGCAGTCTGATAGAACCCAGTATTTTTCAGCAATCTCACCTAGAGTTTCTGTGAGTGTGAGTGGAACCATGCCGGCCTACAGTCAGCCATGGAGCCCTGGGGGCATCGTGGGTTGTGTGTTGGCCTGTAAGCTGCAGGATCAGCAGTTTGAAACCACCAGCTGCTCCGTGGGAGAAAGAGGAAGCTTTCTACGCTGACAAAGATTTAGTCTCAGAAACCCACGGGACGTTCTACCCTATCCGATAGGGCTTCTCCGCCATTTGTCTGTGAATTTATTGTAATGTAGTGGGTTATGTGTGGCTGTGATGCTGGAAGCTATGTCCCTGGTATTTCAAATATCAGCAAGGTCACCCCAAATGAACAGGTTTCCGCAGAGGTTCCAGACTGAGAAGAAGGAATAAGCTGCCCAATTCTGAGGAATTTGGCACTGAAACCCTTAAGGACAGCATCGGAACACTGTTGCATACTGAGAACCTCGCGAAGAGCAGGCCACTGTCGGAGATAGTGTCAGAAAGTGCCGCTCGGGTCAGAAGACACTGGACACGTGACTGAGGGATGACTAGCTGCCTTCCCAGAGTAGAGGCCGTCGGAATGATGTGGATGGAGTAGAGACGTCTAGACCTTCATTTTCTGATGGGGGTGTGACTCAAAATGAGAAGAAACAACTGCAAGCAATTAATGATCAGAACTTGGAATGTACAAAGTATGAACCCAGGAAAATCGGCAGTTGTCAAAAATGAAATGGAACGCATAAGCTCGAAGCCCTAGGCGTTAGTGAGCTGGAATGGAATGGTATTGGCCATTTCGAGTCGGAACATCATACAGTTTACTCTGCCAGGAATGTCACAGCCAAGGGGCATGCCAATGCCTTTATTGCTAAAAAGGTCTAGTGTGAAGGGCAATGCTGCCTGTGGTAGGATAACTATCGATCCACAAAAAAGGAACTCCAGTAAATACCACTATTATTCAAATTTTGCATCAATCACTAATACTAGTAATGCAGAAATTGAAGAATTCTGCCAACGACTTCAGTCTGAAATTGACCAAACATGCAATAAAGAGGCACTGATCATTATTGGCAATTGGGATCCAAAAGTTGGACATAAAGACAAAAGAACAGTAACTGGAAAATAGGGACTTGTTGATAGAAATGAAGCTGGAAATTGCATGATCGAATGTTACAAGGCCAATCACTTCTTCAGCGCAAACCCCTTTTTCAAAAGCACAAACAGCGGCTGTACACACGGACTTCCCCAGAGAGAATACGCAGAAATCTAACTGACTGCGTTTGTGGGAAGACACGATGCAGAAGCTCAATATCAGCAGCTAAAGCAAGACCAGGGACCAACTAGGGATCAGACAATCAATGGTTCATATGTTAAGCTCAGATTGAAGCTGGAGAAAATTGAAACAATTTCATGAAAGCTAAAATATGACCTTGAGAGTACCCCACCTGAATTTTGAGAACATCCCATGAGCACTGTATTGAACACTGATGACCAAAGAGCTGATGACCTGTGGGAAGACATCAAGAACAAACACCACCCATGAATAACGGTCAGGAAAGAGAGAAAAGACCCAGGAGGTGTCAGAAGAGACTCTAAAACTTGCTCTGAATTATACGGCAAATGAAAGAAACGATGAGTCAAAGAGCTGAAAAAAAATGTCAAAGGGCAGCTTGAGAAGACAAAGCAAAATATAATGAAATGTGTAAAGACCTAGAGTTAGAAAACCAAAAAGGAAGAAAATGCTCAGCATCTTTTAAATTTGTGGGAAAACTCCATTATTTTCCTTTTAAAAACAGTTTTATTGGCATAATTCACATATCATGTAATTCTACAGTTCAATCACATCAAGAAGAGACGTAAAATCATCAGCAGTCGGTTTCTAACATTTTGTTCATTCTTACATTCATCATCATTAGCTCCCCATTTCTCCCTCAAGCTCCCTTGCCATGCCTCCAATATTAATCCAATTACTGTCTCCATAGATTTACCTATCCTGGATTTCATATGCAGAAAAACATTCAAACAACAAACTAACAGCAATAAAAAAAGGAAAGCACATAAACACCTCGATCAAAAAGAAAGCAGAAAATATTAAAAGCTAGACCAAATTTAAAATGGGTCAAAAGAGAGATCAAATAATAATAAGCTAAATTTTAACCTAATGGCATGTACAACAACCCACTTTCTAATGCGTTCTGCATGACAGCAAGTCTACTCACGTCCCTGGTATGGTCAGAGGGGATTCGCCTGAAGCTTAATATCACGTGTAAGTTCCCCTTCTCTTAAAAAAATAAAACAAGTTTAAAATGGGCCCAATGGAAGTTCAAATGATATTACATTTTGACTTAATGACAACTGCCACAGTCAACGGGACAATGTTCTCTATTAACCAGCCTTCTCACGTCCCTTCACTGTGGTCAGAGGGGATTCACCGGAGCCTTAATCCACGTGTGGACCCTGCAAATGGCTTGTGGCCTTCCACTGTCATCCATAGCTATTCACAAGTTAAGCTCTGATACCGTTCCCTCTTTCAGATTTGTATTTTATTATTTACAATCCTAGATCACATAGGTTGGTGTGTTTCTTCCATGTGGACTTAGTCGATGCCTCACTCAGATGGCTGCCTGTTTGAAGACAACCCTTTAAGTCCCCAGCCTCTATTCCTTCTGAGAGCTTGGCCCCACCTAGTTTCCTCATCGCACGTTTCTATAGCACCCGTATCATCAGTGCTATAGAGGCAAATCCCAAGAACTAATTATTCTTAAATTGGGGCTATGGTTCAGTGCAAGCTCCAAATCCATTCATATATCTATGGTTTATGCATGTTTCAGGAGTATATTAAAGATATTATTGTCATTTTAGGTGAGAGAACATTATCAATAATCACATATGATGTCACTTCAACTGCCATTGAGTCAATGCTGGCTCATGGCAATCCTATAGGACAGGGTAGAACTTCTCCTGTGAGTTTTGGAGACTATAAACCTTTACAGGAACATAAAGCTTCTTCTTTCTCCTGTAGAGCTGGCTGGTTGTTTCAAACTGCTGACCTTGTGGTTAGCATCTCAATGCATAACCACTACTCATTGGAAGTATCATTAATTTAGCCAATGGTTTAAAATGTAAAACACTGTTCATAAATGGAAATTATATGAGTATAGGCCAGCTATGAACTGCAATACACGAATTGTTAATTTGTATAGATTAAAGTCTTAAGTTACTGTACAAGATTTACAAAAACAATGGGCGTTAGTGATAGGGCAAAGCTTTCAATTGTATTCATTCACAATGGCAGATCCATGCCTTCCAGATTAATACATGGAATAATGGAGCAAGGAGGGCATTAAAAGGGTAAATATATGGCATTTCTGGCCACTATCCCTTAGACACCTTTAAGACAAGAGATTTGAACCAAAGTCCAACATCCACTAGTTCTATGACCTTGGACTAGCTGTCATCTGCTTTTTCTCAAATTAGGGAGTTTCAGCCCTAAGTCCATGGGCTGGAGGTGAGTTTGAAGTAAAACCCAGTTCACTTAGTGAGGTTTACACATTGAGTGCTTCTGGTGTGTCCTGGGGAGGATGTTGTGCATCAGCATATCTTAACTTGAAAGAACTCAAGAAAAAAATTTAAGCTTCATGTTACAATATTGGATGTTCTAAGTGAAAAATATTGAATGATGCACAGACAACAAAAGAAGATGGGGAAAAAATACACGGAGACACTTGACCAAAAGGAACTAGTCAACGTTCAACTATTTCAAGAGGTAGGATAAGAGCAAGAACCAATGGTGCTGAAGCAAGAAGGTTGCACTGCCCTGAAAGCATTAGCTAAAAAGGTTCCAGAAATTGATGGATTGCCAATTAAAATGTTTCAATAAGCTGATGAAGCACTGGAAGCATTCAACTTATCTAGGCCAGGAATTTTGGAAGATAGCTACCTGAGCAATCAACTGGAAGAGATCCATATTTGTACCCATTCCAAGGATAGGTGACCTAACAGAATGTGGACTTTATAGAACAATATCATTAATATCATATGCAAATAAAGTTTTCCTTAAGATCATCCAGCAACAGTTGCTGCAGTACATTGATAGGGAGCTGCCAAAGGTCCAGGCTGGATTCAGAAAGGATGTGGAACAAGGGATGTCATTGCTGATGTCAGAGGGATTTGGGCTCCAAGCAGAAAAAGACTTTTACTTGTGTTTTATTGGTTATGTGTGGAGCACAACAAACTATGCTAGCCTTGAAAACAATGGGAAGTACACAGCACTTCATTGTGCTCACGTGGCACATGTACATGGATCACAAGGCAGTTGTGCAAACAGAACAAGGGAATACTGCATGGCTTAAAATCAGGAAAGGTGTGTCAGAGTTGTAGCTTCTCACCACACTTATTCAATATGTATACTAAGCAAATCATCAGAGAAGCTGGATTATATAAAGAAGAGTATGACATCAGGACAGGAGGAAAGCTTATCAACAACCTGTGGTATGCAGATGACACAACCTTGCTTTGCTGTGAGAAAGATTTGAGACACTTTTTGATGAAGATCAAAGATTCCAGCCTCCAATATGGGTTACAACTCAATGTAAAGAAAATAAAAATCCTCATAACTGGATAAATAGGTAACATCCTAATAAATGGGGAAAGGTTTGAAGCTGTCAAAGATGTTGTCTTCTTTAGATCCACAATTAGTGCTCATGGAAGCAGAAGCCAAGCCGTCCAATGACACATTGCACTGGGGAAATCTGGTGCATAGGACATTTTTAAGGTGCTGAAAAGCAAGGGTGTTATCGTGAGGCCTAAGTTGCACCTGACCCAAAACATGCATGTAAAAGGCAGACAATGAACAAGGAAAACAGAAGCCGATTCGTGCATTCGTATTCTGATGCTCCTGAAGACCGTTGAAAGTTCCCTGGACTGCCTAAAGAACAGCCACAGACATCTGTCTTGGAAGGAGGGCAGCCAGAAGGCACTGTATAGGCACAGATGGCCAGCCGCTATCTCATGTGCTTTGGACCTGTTGTCCGTAGAGAGCAGTCCCTGGAGAAGACAGGAAAGTAGACGGGCAGCGGAAATGAAGAAGGCCTTTTGGAAGGAGCTGCAAGCATGGGCCCAAAACCAGAATAATTGTTAGCGTGACACAGGACTGGCCAGTGGTGTTGGACTTATGGGCTCTATGAATCAGAGCCGACTTCATGGCACTTAACGACAGCAATAATACAGGGCTGCTATGAATTGACTCAATAGCTTTGAGTTTGGTTTGATAATAAGTGCAATCAGAAATTATTTTTAATTTGCTTAGATGTCTATCAAGGAGAGAAATTTAGACTGGAAAAGTTCTATTCTTTGATTTTACATATAAGTCATACTCAGCATGCATTAAATGAACAAACTAATGAAAATATCATACCTACACGATCAAATTTCTACCCTGAACGTTTACCGTGATGATCAGAATGACCCAGCAAGTATAGGAAAAGATACCGAAAAAGCCTCAGCTCTCTTTAAAAAAAAACCAGTAGAAAGAAGCTGTTGTATTTTGTTATGGAAGAGGACTTAGGTCACAGGATCCTTATACATCCTACCCCGTGTGAGCAGTTGTAGGAAAGTGCAGGAATGGCCGTGTATAGTCATTCATTATCGAGGTTGTTATTGTGAGGTGCCTTCGAATTAGTTCTGACTCATGGTGGCCCCATAGGACAGGGTAGACCTGCCCCTGTGGGTTTCCGAGATGCAGCTTTTTAGGGAGTTAGAAAGCGTCATCTTTCTCCTACAGAGCGACTGGTAGTTTTGAAAAGCTGACTTTATGATTAACAACTGATTGCATAACTAGTATAGATAGAGTGACCTTATACATTTGAGAGAGATCTAGGATGCTATTAATACGTATTCTGGAACAGCAGGTGTAAAATAGAACAATTCCAGGGAAATCTATACAAAAATAAACCTTCATTACAGACAAAGCCACAAATAATTAATCAACTACTTGAGGACCACGAAGCTTTGCCCAGGGAGTCAAATGAGATCTTTATGTAGGCCTGGGGTCTCAACATGGTTGACAGAAAGCGTGTATGCAAGGCAGGGCATCCCTCTGATTAAAAGTGAGACTACTAGCCAGACGGTTGATGATGGAAACCCAACCAGAGGGTCCTTGAAAGTCAGGCCTGGTGATCTGCTTCTAAGGACCCCAGCCTTTACGCTCTATGGAGCTCGCTTCTGCTCTGAAATACACCGGTCATGCGAGTCAAAAGGGCCCCAACAGCGACTGAAAACCCTAACCTGCAAGGTAAGGAAGCTGAGGCAGCCCCTCATGAGCATCTGGCCTTCAGAAAGTGGGAGCACTTCAAGTTCACAAACTTGAAGTGTACCGTGAGGGCCTAGGTGGTGGCTGAGCTCCCCATGAGAAGAACCTGCATATTGCCTTACTCTCTGCTCAAGCCCGAGGATGCTGATTTATTCACTACCCTTGGGAGCGCTAGTGAAACATTAGAAGGATCAACTCAACTACTAAGATTCTAAGTGTATTTCTCTTATTTAAAAAAGCAATTGGATCAGGAAAGTGAGTCCCACGGGTCTCTAAGAATTATTTTTAACTGGGACGAGCATCTCAGCTAGCATCTTGCTTCTTTTTACAGATCAAAAGCATAGAAGCATTTGCCATGCACGTCTGCGAGCACTTCCTTTCTTCTTTTAACCATGTCATCCGAGTTCAAGTTTATGTGGAAGAAGTCCCTTGGAGGCGTTTGGAAAAGGTTATCTCATTTACCCGTGTTCCCGGTTTAATTTAAGAAAATTGGCTTTGTGACATATGCTGATATTTTTACTTTTGTTTTTTTTTCTGGTTTTCAGAATGGTGTCAAGCATGTCCATGCATTCATTCACACTCCCACCGGAACACACTTCTGTGAGGCTGAGCAGACGAGGAGCGGTGAGAGCGGTTCCCCATGCTTTGCCGTTGCAAGAGCGTTTTCCGGTTCCCCCCTCTCCCTTCTCAATGACTCCGTTCACTCACACTAAGGCAACCACAGAGCTTTTGAGAGCTTGTCCATCTGAGATGGGAATGAGCAGTGTGATTTTGAATTCTATGAAACTTCCCTCCACTTCGTATCTTAAAAGTGAAATATTTATTTATACAACAAATCTAAGGGGGCCGGCTCTGGGCTGCTAACTCAGCAAAGCGCTGACGGCCCTGTGAGAGGAAGGTGGGGCTGTCTGCCTTGTGAAGACTTACAGTGCCAGAAACCCAGAGAGTCAGAACGACTCCACGGCCGAGAGCTGAATTCCAATGCATCTGGTGATTCAATAAGGAAAGTAATTTTATTGCCCAAAGTTGAAGGGAAACAAAACAAAGTCCCCAGAAAACACGAATCCAAAGCTTTCAGTTTTCTGAGCAGTATTCTTTGTACCATACCATATTATCATTCGAACGGTCTTCATCAGAAATTTCTACAAAATGACAATCAAGTTTCAGTGATATTTTGCTTGCATGATAATAAAGCCATTGATGTTATTTTAATAATTATAAAATGAATTTCATTCAAAACAGTAATTAAAAAAACTACCATAGAGTTGATGCCATCTATTTACTAAGGAATTTTAAAGTTAACTGTGGAACAGAATCAAAATACAGGCCTTTTAATACAGATAATTAAGCTTAACAAATATCAAGATTCTCAACATTTGTCTTCTGATTTGTTCATGTTGGTAGAGTAGAGTTCAATAACTGACTAAGAATTAGATTAGAAAACCTCCAAGGATCGTAAAGCCAAGCACAGACATGTGTGGAGCCCAAATAAGAAACAAAACAAAACTGTAGTAACCGGTACAGATCAAACGTAGGAGCTCTGAACTCTCTTTGCCCTTTCCTTTCCTGTTTGTGCTTTCTACCTGGCTCTCTCGAACGGGAATTTGAGGCGTCAGCCATGTTGGAACCCAAACCAAACTCACTGCCATCAAGTCAGCGATGACTCACAGTGGCCCTTCGTGGGTTTCCAAGGCTGTAGCTGTTTATAGGAGTAGAAAGCCTAGTCTTTCGCCTGTGGAGCTGGTGGTTCCAAACTGTCTACTATCAGGATGGCAAACCACTGGGCAGCCACCATACCACCAGGGCTCCTAAGACATGCTATAAGGTTAACAAGGTTAATAAAACATATGGCCTTTTTGTTTTTTACTCTGAGACCTATGGGATAATACTTCCTTTAGAAAAACATTCTTATTAAATATTTAATATTTTTACTATCTGTGTTAAACTAGACTTTGGCTACTAAGCACAGGCTAGCAGTTCAAACCCAAAATTACTCTAAGGGAGAAAGATGAGGTTTGCTTCTCCCTTAATGATTTACATGGCCTTGGAAACCCACAGGGGCAGTTCTATCTTTGATAGAGTATCTATCTATCTATCTATCTATCTATCTATCTATCTATCTATCTATCTAATCTCATACAAGTTTGCTATCAACCAAAATGAACTCAATGGCCATGAGTTGTATTTTTCCTGTTTTGTTTTGAGTAGCAAGGGTTTTCTCAGAGTCTGATTAACGCTTAGAAAATTATTGTCAGATAAAAGAGATAGAATTAATAGTTATTGAATTAGGTTGAAAACAATGATTTTGACTCTCCATGAGTAACTGTTTGTACTCTTGTGATACATTCACTGTGATAGAGCTGTTTGCTAACTTAAGTGTTCTTCCCTCCTTCTCCCTCCCTTCCCTCCATCTGTCCGGTTTTAGTGTGCAGGTGTTGCCAAATCAAAGATATCTCAAAGTAGGTGCCTTTAAGAAGCCTCAGTGGCATAGTGGTT